TAGTCCTGACTCTGCACTCATATGTGGTACCAGGGATCAAACCCAGATTTGTTGTATGTGAGGCAAGCCCTACCTGTGGTACTATCACTCTGGCCTTATAATCCTTATTTCTGGGACAGTCACTTCCAGATCACCCAGTACAACTGGCCAGTAGAGTAAAACTTGCAGTTGCACAGGATGATATATCTGTAAACTTTAAAACATGTTTCCCGAGGGTATGACATCCAGTCAGGTTGACACTGGGTGCTAAATGATATCTTCCCCATCAGGATACTAATAGTTCTAGGCACATCCTCAAAGATTGGGAGCTAGTAAAAGTAAAACTTGCTCCTTGGTCAATCACAAAGGTTTGAGATCAAATCAAAGCTACTAGAAAAGGCTAAATAATAAGGTCTATCACCTTAGGTCATTCCTTTAAGACAAAGAAATAATAGCTCTGCCTACTGCATAGATGCCACTACAGAGAATAAGCAAACTGAGAAAGAGGTATATGTTAAAAATTCAAGAACAACTTTAAAAATCATTAATGAAAGATGCAATTTACCTTATAAAGAGTTCAAAATATTAAATTAAATTTAAATTCGAAATTAAATAGGACCACACCAAACAAAAATGTTTTTTTCACATCAAAGGAAATCAACAAAATTAGAAGGAGAAAATATGTGAAAGTCATATATATAACAAATGTTAATATCCAAAACATATTATGTGGCTGGAGAAATAATGCGGTGAATAGGGCACTTAATCATGCATGAGACCAACTTGAATTTAATCCCCAGAACCACATATTGTTCCCTGAGCCCCACTAGGAGTGGCACCTGAGGGCAGAGCTGGGAGTAAACCCTAAGTACTACTGGGTGTGGCCCACAAACCAAAAACAACAACAATAAATATTAGAAACTCATACAATTCATTAGCAAGACAAAATAGAATGCAATTTGAAAATGAACAGATGATTCATGAGTAAATCTCCCAGGATATCCAAGCAGCTTAAATTCACAGAAACACTGATCCTTACAACTGAAAATTCCAGAACACCCTCAGGATGTGGGCGGGCCAAATACCCACCTATCAGAAGCCCCAGCAGCCACACCTACACTCTGCCACTGCAGCCAGAAGAAGAGCTCTACTCAATCTCTTCATGAATATTCTCTGCAGAGACTCCAAACTGCAAATAATTTCAGGTTCCTGGTGCTCAAGCTTATAACTCTGGTGTTTTTCCAGCATTGGAGGTGGGCTCCTCCTATTCCTCGTATCCTTCTGAAAGCCCTGGTAACCATGCCCGCCTCTGAAAGCCACCGCCATATCAAATCATTGGCCAAGACCATAGATTCTGAAGTCTCTGGGTAGTGTGGCTGCATATGTGGCCATGCAACACCTCCTAATTCCTCGATATTGAAATTCCAGTAGGAACACACCAAATTAGATGGGTAAGTAACATAGAAGCCAACAAAACTCATCAAAAACCCCAATAACACTGATAGTTTATCTAGCAACAAAAAGCTTAATAAATCTTTAGACAAGGACTTAACAACCCCAAAATCGGATATGCCAATTTTCTTGTAAATTGATTTTTTTGTACTTACTTATTTTAATATTGGAGTTTTGTTATGTAATCAATTTTAATTCTAGAATTGTATCAATAGTTGTGGGTTTTTTTATTACATTAAAATAAATAAAAAATAAAATTTAAAATATAAAATGAAAAGATATTCTGAATAGATATTTCTCCAAAGAAGACATTTAACTAGCCAATACATTCATGGAAAGGTATTTTGTTTTTTTGCTTGATTTTTGGGACATATCCAGCCATGTTCAAAGGTCACTCCTGACTCTGTGCTCAGGGGATCATATCTGGAGGTAAGAAACAGGTGCAAGTTAAGTGCCTTGCCCACGGTACTATCTTTCTGGCCTATAAAAAAAGGTTCCTTCCCACCATTTAAGGAGGGTGGGCTACTAGTACCCCCAAGTTGGTGATGCTCAGGGGTTACACCTGAATCAACACTCAGGAATTACTCCTGGCAGTGCTCGGGGGACCATATGGGATGCTGGGGATTGAACCCTGATCCATCACATGCAAGGCAAGTGCTCTATCTGCTGTACTATCACTCTGGCACTTCTATATTTTCTGTCTTTCTTTTTCTTTTCTTTCCTTTCCCCTTTTTTGAAATGCTGGGTATAGAATCCACGACCCCACATATGAAGAAAGGTAAGCTCTTGAGCTGCATCCCCCATCCCCTGTGGAAAGATGATTAACATCATTTATCATTGAAAACTGCAGGTTAAAATCACAATAAGCTATCATTTCACCCTGTTAGGATGCCTATTATATAAAGGACAAGAAATAAGAGTTGGTGAAGATGTGGAGGAAAGTGAAGACTTGTGCAACGTTGATGAAATGTAAATTAATGCAGCAACTATGAAAAGCAGGACGGAGTTTTCTCAAAAATTAAAAATATAACCACTGTATAATCCAGTTATTCCCCTTAAGGGTACTTACTAAAATAAAAGGAAAATTCTAACTTTCAAAGATATATGTACTCTTATACTCACTGCATTATTACTTACAACAGCAGTATAAAGAAACTAAATGTTCTTTAATGGATGAATGGATTAAAATAATGCATACATAACATTTTTATCAAGCTATAAAAAGAAAGAAAGCTTGCCATTTGCAACATGATGGAACTTGAGGACATTGTACTAACTGAGAAAGACAGAAAGTCAAATACCATAAGAACCCATTTATATGTGGATCTTAAAAAAACCTAAGTTCAAACACATAGAACAAATTGATGGTTGATAAATATGGTTAAGGAAATCAAAAGGTACACAGTTATGAAACAAAGCCTGCATGTAATATGCAGAATGGTGATTATAGTTACTTTTAAGGTATTGCATATCTTAAAAGTTGCTAAGTAAATCTTAGAAGTTCTGATCACAGACAAAAATTTTATAGTATACAATTTCAAACTTTAGTGATGGATGCTAACCAGATTGATTGTGGATTTCACAATAGATAAAAATCTAGAAGCATTATATGCTGTACACAATGAAACTAATATAGTTTATGTGTCACTTATACTTCAATAAAATTTTTTAAATTGGAAATTTTATGTTAAAATTAAAACTCAAGATAGTGGTTAACTTTTTGGAATGGGGAGAAAAATGCAGTTATCTTATAATACCGTTTATTTCCTAAGTTTTGTGTTTGGTCTACACCCTATTTATTATACTGGAGCAGGTCAGAGAGACAGTAGTTAAAATTTCAGAAATTTTCAAATCAGTTGTTAAATTCAACCTTTATTGAATTTAAATTGGTATTACATTAAACTTAAATGAAAATTAAATTTTGTAAAAATAATTAATATTTGAAACAAAGGTAATAAATACTCAAAGCCCATCATTTTCTAATTATTTTGCTATTATCTATGCTATTTTTTTGTTTTTATGTGCCTCACCCAGCAGTGCTCAGCGCTTATTTCTGGCCCTGAATTCAGGGATCACTCCTGGTGGGGCACAGGGGACCATATGTGGTACCAAGAATCAAACCTGGATCAAGTTCATGCAGGGCAATAATATCCTACCCAATGTACTATAGCTGTGGCTCTATTATCTATGCTCTTGAACTTACATTTTATGTACCATCTGTTTTCACCTCTATATGGTAAAAATACTGGAAATGGTGAATAATCATGCTTCTCTTCCTGACCTCTTGTCACCTTGGCATTGCTATGCTGGAAAATTAGTTAATGTAAAAATCAAATTTTTTTTTGCTTTCTGGAGAGTTAGTTATTCCAGCATACAGTTTGGTGAAAGATGTTCTTTATAGCTCAGGATTCTAGGGCTTCTGATTTCACCTTAACATTTCTTGGGAAATAATAAGTAAATTAATTCTTCTTCTGAGTTGTTACCCCACCCCATTCCTTTTGTTTCTCTATGTTTTTGTAGGTCTGGGATACTTCGTGATTCAGCTAAAATTAAAATATTGAAACTTTTTATTTTCAAAACAATGCTAAACATCCACTCCTGGGAATATATCCCAGAGAGGCAAAAAGGTATAGTCGAAGTGACATCTGCAATTGTTTGTTCATTGCAGCACTCTTTACAATAGCCAGAATCTGGAAAAAACCTGAGTGCCCGAGAACAGATGACTGGTTAAAGAAACTTTGGTACATTTACACAATGGAGTACTATATAGCTGTTAGAAAAGATGAAGTTATGAAATTTACATACAAGTGGTACTACATGGAAAGTATCATGTTAAGCGAAATGAGTCAGAAAGAGTGGGATAGACACAGAAAGATTGCATTCATCTGGGGAACATAAAGCAACAAAACATGAGACTAATACCCAGGAATGGCTGAGATTAGTACCAGGAATTTTGCTCCATGACTTGAAGGCCAGCCACACGTGCTAGGTGAAAAGGAAGCTCAGATAGAGAAGAGAGCACCAAATAAAGGGTGTTGTGAGGACCCTCCCAGGGTGGGAGAAGCATGCTAAAAGTAGTCTATAGACCAAACATGATTGCCACTCAATGCCTCTCTTGCAAAACACAGTACCCAAAAGAAGAGAGAGAGAACAAGGCGGAATGCCCGGCCACAGAGGCAGGGTGGGACGGGGGGGATGGGGGGTGGGGGGGATGCTGGGACCCGTGGTGGTGGAGGATGGGCACTGGTGGAGGGATGGGTACTTGATCAATGTATAACTGAAACCCAAGCATAGAAATTTATAAGTCTATAACTGTACCTCATGGTGTTTCACTAATAAAAAAATTAAAAAAATAAATAAATAAAGTAAAAAAATTATGAATAATAAAACACCTTCAGTTCAGAAATAAAAAAAAATGCTAAACATCACAATGGAAGAATATCAACAAAATACAAAGGATTTTCTATGATTACATATATGTAATGCATTTTGTAATATTTGATTTATATATAACATGGCATGTTCAGTACTGGTAGCAGCAGCAATGTGGTAGGTATTGCTTTCCTTACCTGAAGCCCTTAATGGGGCACTGCCTACAGATAGAGCACTTGGTCTGATGCTTCACTTGCTCAGCAATTGTGACCCGATGTAGAACAGCCAGCCACACCATGGACTGAGGCTCCAAATTGACCCACTCCAGGAACTGCGATGCATCAATGACTGGCTTCCCAGTACTCTAGAGAAAGAAGAAACCCAATGGCAAGAAGAAACTCAATGTATATTTCCCCTAGTATGTCAATCATCAGTAAGACAGGAGATACAGATGTAATTTGGTCTATTCTCCAGAGAGGTCCACATTCTGCCCTATCCTAGTTGAGGTGTTACCTTTCCCCCATAGGACTCTAACCCTAAGAACCTGGAAACCTCTGCCCTGTTGTTACATCTCAACAAATTCCATTATATCTGAGTAATTATGATCAAAAGATTAGCTCTTAGTCTGCCCATATTTCTCCCTCCCTTCCCTCTCATTCATTCCTTGCCCAATCCATACTCACAAAACGGAAGCAACTGCGGACACTGGGCTCCACATTGCTGCCTCCAAAGGCTGCCACTTCCCCCAGCTGACGGGGCACCTGAATGGCCTCATGAAGCAGGACACCAAGATGGCGTTGGTCACACTGGCTGCCTGAGTTGGCTACTTGGCTGAAGAGATCTGCTGGCCCCACCATAAGTCATGACCAATCCAATTCAGGAATGGCCAAAAAATGGTACAAGGAGAAAGAGCATAAAAGAAAGACAGGGAAAGAGAACATAGACTTAGCTCATGGGTTTTAAAACTGGAATAACTAGAGGTTCATTCCTACCCTTGTAGAGCCCAGAACTTTAAAAATGCAAATCAAAACTTTTTGAGTTTAGGAATAAAAAGTGATAGAACAAAAATAAAGCATCAAAAAGAGAAGAGTGAGATGAAAACAGAGAGAAAGAATGTGTGAGAGAAGTCTCAGACATAGCTATAACACTGCTTATAAAACAGATTCTCAAGAATCAAGACTAGGGTGTGGGTTTTAGGTGGAATACAAGCTTGAACATGAATCACAGTAAGTTTGCCCTATCTCCTCCTATTCATTGGTTCATATAGTTGGACACTTCAGTAATCTCCCAATTTTACACATAAATGAAAAGAACCTCGGACAAACTAAAAAGTAGAGACAATTTGAAGCATTTAATCATCTTAGAATTATCTCTATGTGTTTGTGGAATAGACTACAGTGCTTATGTTTGAATATGGAAAAAATATGTATCCTTTGAAGAAATCCACATCTGGTCTCAACCTTAGCAAATATCCTTCAGAAATTATTGCTTGTTTGCTTCCTACCATAGATTAAGGCTTAGGAAATATACAATGAAAGTTGAAGACTTAGGAGCCTGGGTTTTAGTTCTGAATTCATTGTGACTAGGCAAAACACAAACATTTTTGTGCTGAAGTTTCCTTACTTGCAAATTAAGAATAACTAATCATTTTCCATCCAATTTCAAAAGAATGTTGGAGAAACATGCTTTAAAAACACTCCTTCCCGTATAGTTTTCCCACATCAATGTCATATTTCCCTGTAATCTGATAAAGCAAACCACATAGTCTTTGCCAGTCCTATTGTTCTAATTAAACTTAAAATAAAAATAAGTTCTGTGTATCTTTGTCTCTTCCTCTGGACTTTAAATCACTTGCTATGGGTATCATGTCTAATTAAATCTAGTATATTTACACATTTAACACCGTGTCAACACATTAAGCACTTAACAATTAATGATGATGAAGAAGAAATGTACAAAACATGGAGGGGAAAGCAAAATCACTCTAAGCCAGAGTGGATAATAACAGAACACTCTACTGTCCCCTTCCCATTTAATGGGGATTATTGTACCATGTCCTGTGATCTATATGGAATTTTTTAATAGAATGTGTGACATGGCTGACCCATCACACTGGAAAACAGCTGAACTTTGTCCATAGGAAATAGAAATAGGTCTGGGACCTGTGTACCCAAGGTACACAGCTCAGCTCAGATCTGCCAGCTGAGATCCTTGTCAAATACTTACATTAGATGAGAAAAGAGTTAAACAATAGAGTGATACTTGAATAACAACAAACCTAAGGCCCATCATAAGCTTTTATTGCTGTGTGGATTCTTTACAATGACTAAGAGGCTGATATCAGAAAGAAAGCTGGAAAGCCTTCCACTGAGTCCCAAGACCTACCACACATATATCCACATCCCACCACACCTCTCCTTCCAACCAACTCCACACTAAACTTTGGAGTTGTACTCACACTGTAGTTTTTCCTTCACTTCTGTGCCACACAAACATGCAATGCCAGTCTTAAAGGACAATGCTCGCATCTTTCCACTGCGGCCACTAGGTTTAAAAGGAGAGACAAAGAACAAGTGTATATGCAAAAGTTTTAACATTTACAGTCATTTCCCTCACAGAGTTTGGTCCCCACAGGGATCTATACAACCATACTCAAGCTGTGCTAGGTCCACATCCACTAAGAGAACAGTAGTTCCTACCATGCCTACTCCAGATATCCCACTGAATTTCACTCTGGAAACTATCAGATCTAAAAGCCCTTACCTGTCAAAAACATTGAGAAGCCAGTTGAGGCTCATGTCCACACAGAGTGGCACATTGACCAGGATGCCTCTTTCCTCTTCTAGTCGTTCATATAAGGCAGTCAGACAATGAATTACCTCCACCACATCCATCACATGCTCACTGGCCTGCAGATCATGCTCACTGAAGATCTCCAGGGCTGTGGTTAAAGTTACCAAGTCCACTGGGAAGGAAAGGAAGATTCAGAGAGTATAATCCAAAGTAGATCCCCAGAAGTAGACAAACACACAGGGTTATTACTGTCACCAAATTGATTCAGTTTTTATACCAATAACTTGTAAGAATGATATAGTTTGTATTTTATTAAGCCCCTTATCCCAAGAATGATGAAGGCAGAAAAAAATACCTTAAATTAACCCAAATGTTCCTATGTCTATATATTTTTTGTCATCAAGTTTAAGATAGTGGAATATCCTGTCTTGTCTTCTTTGGTGTAATAGTTACCATGTAATCAAATACTATATTGTTTTTCTGTCTTTGTACAGATTTCACTGCATATGCATATTCATATGTCCATGAATCCCAAGAATCTGTGTACTAGCTATAAAAGCTCAGGTATTCCTGGCTACCTTAGGAGAACTTTGAATTACCCACAATGCTGGATAAGTCTATCCTGACGTGCTAGACCAGGAAGATTCAATGATCAGTGCCTCTGAGAAAGGCCAGAAAGCACATTATACTTGCAGCTATCTTGCCCTCTATCCACTGTATTTGCTTTAACAGTTCTGTTGCTGTTGAAGCATCTTTGACTCCAAGATGGTAGAAGGATATACACCCCTGGTGGCTCCATACCATGATTTGGGATACTTTCTGCCATAAGAACAGCCACTTGATTATCAACCTTTGTCAGTAAAGAATAACATGGGTTAATTTGGAAATAAATTTGGAACTTGAGGATAACATAAGGGTCATGGAAAGAGCAGGTGTCCACAACAGCTTATCTTAGGCTATAGAGTGTTCCTATCAAGTATACCAACAACCCTGGCTAAAGTGCATGAAAATAGTAAACATCTAATATAATAGAAAGGTCAGGAGTGAGGTGAAAGCCCTGAGGGAAGGGCAGTGGAAGACTTACAGCGCAGTGCCTTCTGGACTCTACGTAGCTTCATGGCAGTGCGGTAAGCTGAGAACTTAATGTTGTTCAGATCAGCTGCAAATAATTTAAAAGACCCATTTAAAGCAGGGAACTGCAAATTAAAACCACAATAATATGCCATCTTACACCTTCCAGATACTGGCAAAAAATTAAGTCTGATGGTAGTGTCAGCAAAGATATGGATGAACGAGAACTGCTAGTGGAAATGTATGCTGATATAAGTAGGAAACAGCTCTGTATTACTTAGAAAAATAGAACACCTGTGCATCTACAATACAGCTATCTATGTGTCCCAGAGCAGCAATTTTCAAATATTTTTTATCACAAGACATAAAAAGTTAACTCTTTATTATGGTCCAGTACATATACACACACATATATATACATATATATTTAATTTTTATTAGTGAAACACCACGAGGTACAGCTGTACACTTACAAATTCTGGTGCTTGGGTTTCAGTTATACAATGATAGAGTACCCATCCCTCCACCAGTGCCCATTCTCCACCACCAATGATCCCAGTATCCCTCCAATCCGCCCATCCCCCCATCCCACCCTGCCTCTGTGGCAGAGCATTCCCTTTTATTCTCTCTCTCCTTTTGGGTGCTGTGGTTTGCAAAAGAGGCATTGAGTGGCAATCATGTTCGGTCCACAGTCTACTTTCAGCAGGCATCTCCTATCCTGGGAGGATCCTCCCAACACTCTTTACTTGGTGCTCCATTCTCTAGACATAGATGTGTATATATGTATGTGTGTGTGTATATGTATATATAAAGAAAGAAATTGACAGTTCAGGAAACACTACCTATTGATTTGGTAAAGCAAAAAAACACACCAAAGTTGATGTCAAAATACCACTACCACTGAAATTCTATTGTACTTTCATATTTTTAGTCTACTTCAATGAAGATGCTCAGGGCCAGAGAGATAGCACTGTGGGTAGGGTGCTTGTCTTGCATGTGGCTAGCTGGGGTTTGATCCCCAGCATCTGATATGGTCCCCAAAGCACTGCCAGGAGTGATTCCTGAGTGTAGAGTCAGGAGAAACCCCTTAGCACTGCTGGGTGTTGCCCAAAACATAAAGAAAAAGAAAAGCAAAAAAAGAAAAGAGATGCTCATCACAACATACTAAAATTATTTTGAGTTTCATACTGAAAACACATCCAGGTACACCAATTGATTGGCACAAGAACTTTTTAACAGTGCTGTTCTTATTCGCTTCAAACTAGAAACATTCTAAATGTCCATCAGCCATAGACTGGATGAATAAATGGTGCTTTACCAGTGGTTTTCATCTGCCTGTCTGCAGATGAGTGCTAGTCATCAGGTATAAAAAGGTTAAAGACCAAATAGGTGTCAGAATATTGTGAACCTGAAATTCAACTATAAATAACTTTATAAATCACTGTAGCTTGGAGTTCATGCACAATTCAATCAGCTAATCAGTGGCTGAATAAATAGCAGTACTCCTACATAAAAATAAATAAATCACTGTAGACAAATAAAAAATAATTAGAAAAAGTTGAAAACCATTGGCATATACAATTGACCTTTCTTCAGCAGCAAAACCGAATGGACTACAGTCTCCTGCAGCAAAATAGGTAAGCTGTAACCTCATGATGAGCTTCTCCTATTAGACAAGAGAGTCACACTAGTAAAAGCCTGGTCAGTATCTTTCAAAGTAAGATCTGGTTCAAATCAATAAGGCTAATTCCCTAATGTGATAATAAAATCATCTAGGGAAAATTTAGAGCTTCTATAGATAGGTGCAGAGAGGACATGGGGGAAGTCCTCTATCCAGAGAAGGCCAAGGAAAAGGCATTCATTTACACCTCAGTTGGTTTGTAGATAAAGAGTTTTCCATTACTCTCACAGTACAAAGGCAACTGTGTAGCTCTTCATTCTATGCAGGTGCCCAATATTCTTACCTAGGGTTTGGTATAACTCTGTCATCTTGGGATGATCCCAGCATGTGGTCTGAGCCTGGTGGCTTTAAACAAAAATATTAATTTTAGCACCAGATTCCATGCTGCCCCACTCCCCTGCCCACACCATGCATACACTGTTAAATGAAAGATTGGATGAAAGAAGTTGCAGGATCTGTGAGTGAACCCTGAAGATCCCAAAGCACAAGGGTTACCCTTTACCCAAGTAGAGTTTTTGAGATGATTAGGAGAAAACTTGGACTGGATAGATAAATCCCAACAGAATAGGCATGATAGAAACAGGTAAAAAATGACAGGTGTAGGAGGGGAGGGTCATGTGACTGATATGGTTTTGTTCAGATGGTTACTCACTTGATGTAGTACGGTACTTTATTGGGTGAAATCGCCCTTTCCCAAGGAATCTGGACAGATGCTGGTAAGGGAAAAGTAAAAGAGAAAGAAGCTAACTACTAATGCTCTCTAAGCACCCCATTTCATCCTCTAGAAGATGTGATCAAATCCAAAAGGGGATACCTTACTCTAACTGCCATCTCTAAACAGCCTGTGTGGGTAGGGAAAATTTTTCTAACAAACACATCTCTCCTTGATGTTAGGGCAAGTCACATGTGCCAGAGACACAGCAAAGCCATGAACCGGAATACCTGACTTTGGCTGCCCTGACAATTTTCTCCCTGAGAAGGCTGTTATTTCTGTTCCTTTAGCTTAAGGCAGATGGAGTGTTACTGTGGATATGAAGTGGGCAGTACTTTCCCCTGGGGTGGGTATTGTCAAAGCCTAGAATGTAAAGCTTCTCATCCCTGTGGTATAGTAGGGGGAACTTCTCTTAGGGAGGCACTCTGGAAAAGGATGCCTCTTTTTGCTTCATGTTTTTATCTTCTGAGTGCTCCAGGAGAGGCTCAGATGCCTGGCCTACCTCTTCAGTGCAGTTTTTCTGGGTACAAGAGCCATCTCCAGGTATAGCTTTTTGCCAGTAATCAATAAGAGTTGATCTAACTGCCATTGTTGCTCTCCAACTATGTGCTATAAAAATATCTGGCACATACATCTAATTTCGTATCTGTATGTTCCCACCATTTCTACTGCTACAACTCTGATCTGGGTCACCATGATCCCTCATCCTGATTACCCAATTCCTTCCTATTGGGTCTCTCTGCTTCCAATCTTGTATCCTCACACACTGATATTATTAAAACCTAAGTCAGATCATGTCATTGGTATCCTCAAGTCTCTCCAAAGATTGTCTATTCCATTTGAAATACAAATCAAAGTTCTTACCTACTCCCTCCCTCCTTTCTCACTTACATATGGATCTCCTTGCTGCTTTTCAGACATGTCTCTGCCTTAGGGTTCTGAGAGTAGCTTTTCTCTCTATCTGGAATGCTCTTCCCTCAGATATTCACATGGTTCATTTTCTCCTTCTCTCCTTCAAGTTTTTGCTCAGTTACCACCCACTCATGCTATTCATTGATCAATTTACTCAAAATTGCAATGCCTTTCCTCCTAAGTCTTACATCCCCTATCCATGCCCTATGGCACCAATTAAAAATATATTCAATTATATACATACACACATATATTGCCTACTCTGGTTTCCTCCCACTATAATAATATAAACTCTATTAATCTAAGGACTCGTGCCTTTTTTTCACTAATATAGTCCCAGTGTGTCAAAGAGTACAGTATTGTTGAGGGTCAGAGAACTAAACTAGGTCAAGAGCCCAAGTCCATGCTTTGCATGCAGGCTGCCTGAGTTAGATCCTGGGCACCACTTGGTTCCCTTAGCAGTACCAGGAGTGACCCCCCCTGAACATTAATTCAGGAGTAAGTTTCTAAGCACCACCAGGAGTGGCCTGCAAACAATATCTATATCTATATATATATCTATATCTATCTATCTATCTATCTAATTGTTGCAAAATAATCTAATTTCCACAACCATATTATCTAGGCAATATTCCTTCTCTTTGAAGATGGAAAAACTGAGACTCAGGAATATTTAGTTATTTTTGTCAGGTTTGCAAAGTTTTTAAGTTAAGAAGACATGATTCAGAACTGTCTCTGATTCAAGAGCTTGTTCCTTTGTTTATTTATCTTTTGTGTGTGGTGAGAGGGATCAAATCCTGGGATTCACACATGCAAGGCAAGTGCTCTACTGCTGAGCCCCATCCCTGAGAGTGAGAGACTGTCCTTTAAACCACTATGCTACATTGTGTTATCCTTAGTGCTTCCTAGAGAAGTTCAAGTATACTGGATTCCCACCAAGACCCCAATGGACAATATACTCTCAGAAGATGGTGAAGGTTTTACCAAGTTTTTTTCACGTACAGGAGAGGAAGTGTTGTGACCCAGGCCCAAAGTCCCGGTGAGCATCCTGGAGCTGTTTGAGCCTTTCAGCAACTGAAACCTATAGAAAGAATAAGCACAAAGTCAGGCATGGATATTGAGCATAGAATTGTTGGGAATCATGGCAAACTCTCCCAGAGGCTGGTGCTCAACTCATTCCCATTCTTGCCACCATCACTCAATTCTAGTCCTTCCATAGCACTCTCAAGGATCAGAGAAGGGTATCCAAATTCAATGCTACTTCCTTTTCCTCTGCTGCTCACTCAGTCTATTCTGAGTGCCCAATTGTACACAGCTTTCTCAGATCACTATTTCAGTCACCTTATACCTTAGAGATTAAGAAGTCAGTTCCCTGGCCCTAATTTTTTTTTAAATTTTTCTCCATCTAGTTTTCATTTCAGTTTCTCTTTATTTCCTTTGGGAATGGAGGAGTCACACTCGAACCTGGTTATATAAGGAGGGCTTGTCTTCATGGCTTATTGTTTACCTGCAACTGTTTCCATCGGCTGTTGATTTGTTCCAGGGCCTGGGAGTTTTCCATTGATAAGTGCACATCAGAAATGGCAAGCTGATGGGCCAGATCATTCACTAGCTTCACTCCATCTTTTATGGGGGATAATTCTTCTTTGAATAACTATAGAATCAGGAACCAAGTTCCACAGCAAAAGAAAATTGGAAAGAGGAATCATTAGTCATTTACATGAACTCCTCCCTGTATACCTACAGATTAATTTCAACGAGTACAACTATTATTTAAAATGTTATTTCAAAAGTCAAAATTTGTTATCACTCTTGCCTTCCTACTAGTAGAAAATATCAGGGAAAAAGAAAGCAATAATAGGACAGTGGAGGAGTCAACTAAACCACACAGCGCACACGACTTTGGACAGTCTCAGTTGTAGTCCAGCCAACAATGGAGTCTCAGCATCACTAACACTATCAGCATCTGATCGGAATGTCAGATCTCAGGATGACTGAGGACAGTTGAGGGGGCCAGCCTACCTTAACAGCCTGGATGTGCTCTGGAAGAGAATCAATAAAAAGATCCCCAATGGGCTCCCAAGTGCCTCGCACTTCCTCGGTCTGAGCCAGTGTAGCTCTTAGTTCTTCCATTGCCCCTTGGATTTCCAACAGTTGTTCCAGTGTGCGCTCAATGTGGCGGTGTTGGTCCACACAGCGGGCTGTCAGCTTCTCCCATAGTTCACTAGCCACTGTTGCCTGCTTCCATACAAAGCGGCTAAGATTCTGGATCCGCTGTCTGGGAGAGGTATCTGCGAGGGCAATGGGAATGCAGGCCAGACAGGAGAAAACCCAGGGAAAGACAGAGAAAAAGGTAGTCATTTGTAAAATATGTGTGTGTTTGTGTATATGTTAATACACACGAATGCATATTTTTCATTGTTGAGCCCCTTTTGCACATTCAGGTATTTTTAAATACAAATTTATTTTGAACTCAGTGCAAATTCACATGAGAAATTCACATAAGAAATGCAAATTCACATAAGAAACACTACAGAGTTCTTATGTACCCTTGACCCAGTTTTCCAAATAGAAACACCTTGCAAAACTATAGTTAAATATTACAATCAGGATATCAACATTGAGTCAATCTACTATTCTTTTTATCATTTCTGTTTTACCCACAATCAGTTGCATATATATTTAATTCTATGCAATTTTATCACCACATATGTTTGTGGGCCCATTGCCACAGTTGAGACCATATTATTGTTGTCCATATACTCTATATTGATGAATGTATTTCCTCATATAACCTTTTAAATGGGCAAGGCAAATAGGGAGTAAAACAGTTAAAAGATGGGACCTGAAATATAGCTTAATGGCTGAAGGCAAATACAAGCTCCCAAGTTCAAACTCTGGTTGTCACCACCTGTGCTGAGGTCATCAGAACAGTACTACTTTTTGTGATCCCCACTGGAGAAATGTCTGAAAGATGGTCTAGTGGCTTAAAGTGCTTGCCTGGCACAAACATAACACCACAAGTTAAAACATTGGTGCTGCTTGCAAGGTCTGATCCTAACAGTGATCCTTACAGCTTTCTTGATATGAATCCACAGTGAGAAAGAGCCTGGAGGACAGCTCAGAAACTTAGAAAGAGTTCAGAGCAAGTAAGAGGTCCTGAGCTTAATCACACCAAAGAGATCCTTACCAGCTCACTATTTGGGATACCAGAGAAAGGAGAAAAGTTAAAGAGGTATAGTAAGGCAAACATCCAGAGTTATTCATAAGACCCTAGAATGTGATCTTGCATTATTGTCTGCTGCCTACTTCTATCCATAGAAGAGAGGAATTTTACTACGAAGGCTTTTTCCAGGAAGTTGATATAAATTTGATGGGTTTTCTACCCAGGCTCCTTAAGTATAATAGGCTTCCTTTTCCTCCCTCTGAAGTAGATTCAGACCCTGAAGACTTCAGTGTGGTTGTAATTATCTCATTATTTCTCGATCTTATCTTAACTCAAGTTTGTCAGGATATAACTTGAGTAAAGATTTTCCTACTAACAGAGAAGGGACCATAAGAATGATAGTTGGAAATTATCTCTCTGGACAAGAACTGAGTGATGAAAGGAGGAAAAGTGACATACATGATATGCTTTCAATAACAGTATTTCAAACCACAGTGCCTAAAAGGAAAATGAGAAAGAGAGAGACAGAGAGAGATAGAGGAAAAGTATCTCTCATAGAAGCAGGCTTGGGGGTGGGAGAGAAAACTGGGGACGTTGGTGATGGGAAATGTATGCTGGTGAAGGGATGGGTGTTGGAACATTGTATGACTGAAACCCAATCATTAACAACTTTGAAACTCTATCTAATAGAGATTTAATAAAAATAAAAGATTTTCCTACTGAGAGGGAATTCAAAACTAGAGAGAACCAAGTGCGATGCAAAAGAGGTTCAATTAACACAGGGTCCTTTCAGGCTAATTGCAGCTGTTCTTAGACAATAGGGGACTCTTTCTGGTTATGAAGTCTTACTGATTCTGACAGCTTTCCTGGTGTGAATCCACAATGAGAAATGGTCTGAAAGACAGCTTAGTAATTAGAAAGAGTGCAGGACAAGTAAAAGGTCCTGAGCCCAAACCAGTAAGGAAATCCTGACCAGTTTGGGGTACCAGAGAAAGGGAAAAAATTGAGACATAATCACTACCAATCCCACCTTGCTCTTTATTTGGATATGGACACAGAGTGGCCCTCTCTACTGACAAAAGAGTCCAGAATCACCAGGGTCAATAGAAACACAATAGATTTTCTTCTCAAATATCATCTTTACAGAGTTTAAAAAGGTTTTTTTATTTGCTAGTTGATTAAAGCATGATAACACATTTCTCTGTGGTTGGAATAAACAGTGTCAGTTGAGGGCATGCCTGGTGTACTCAGAGATTACTACTAGCTGTGCTATTAGGGAGCACTCCTGATGGGGCTCAGGGGACCATATGTGGTTCCCAGGACTGAACCCAAGTTAGCTGTGTGCAAAGTAAGCACCCTACCTAACGTACTATCTCTCTGACTCCTAAACAGTATGTCTTTAAAAGAGACACTATTACTTTTATTTACTGAATCAAATTGATGCACTGAATTTTTTTTAATGTTTCATTAGAAGGCCAAACATGATGAGACAGGCTCGTGCAACTTTGGGTTGTACACTGGTGTCTCCCACTCTGAATACTCTTCTTTTTGCTTTATCTTTTAATACAAGCCTTGGTCATCCCCAACATTGAAGACTCCTAGAATAAAACCACCTTCCTAGATAACAGCTAGGAAAATGAGATTGTGGGAGGTCAGGAAGTTATTTAGGGACTCAATCAAGAAGGAAGGGAAAGAGGAAGATCACTCACCTTTGTACTCAGAATGAGATTCCTCCAATTCCTCAAATGGATGCTGGGACAGGAAGGCCTGAGCTGACTCTAGCACCGAGTAGATATAGGGACCCCGAGACTTGACATCTTCCATGAAGGCCTGTGAAGTTTAGCAATGTGGTCAACAGAGAATGAAAGGCTTTCAATCTCTTTGAAGTCTATCCTGCAATTAGCAATCATTTTATCTCTAGTGCAGCTTAATCCTTTAGTTATATATCTTTGGTAGCACTGTCACTGTACCCCCCTTTGTTCATCGATTTGCTTGAACCGGCACCAGTAACATCTCCATTGTGAGACTTGTTTTTATTGTTTTTGGCATATCGAATATACCATGAAGAGCTTGCCAGGCTCTGCTGTGCGGGCGGGATACTCTTGGTAGCTTGCCGGGCTCTCCAGAGGGATGGAGGAATCAAACCCAGGTTGGCCGCACACAAGGCAAACGCTCTACCCACTGTGCTATCACTACCCAGACAAAAAGCGGTGCAGTCTCCCTCCCCTATGGACAAAAGAACAATTCTGACACTGGAAGGTATGGATGATAGAGAATTGCAGATATTTGGGGCTGGACTTCTTGGTTCCTTAGGAAGACTCAAAGTCTGCTGCATTACATGGGACTTAGAGAAACCAAAATCACTATGGGCAGGTTTTATATTAATTTTTAAATTAGTTTCTGATGTTTTATACACATAAAATGTATAGAATTTTTATTTCTGTATATATCCATAAAGTGATTTCATTGCAGTAACCAGAATTTGAGATTTAAAAGGAAAAAGAACAAAAGGACTCTGTGCCAGGCTGTTTCTTTCAGGGCAATCCAGCAGCCAAAAACCTCCAGAACTTAACTGCCGTCGTGCTCGTGGATGCTGTCCACATGCTTGGGTCAAGCCTCACCCAGGAGTGAATTTGCAGAATGACCAGGTATGCGGGACCTGTGACTGAAAGCTCCAGGTTCAACGGAACTGGAAATAGGTGGCCTCCTATCATGTCCCCTGTTTCTGGCAACTTGGCAGTCACCTCCACAAGCCACTTCTAGCTGGTGCCATATAATCTCATCAATGGCCACGATCTGTAGACTCATTATAAATCTCTCAGAAGAGAGCACAAAACGATATGCCATAGCCATGCCTCCAGACCCCCCGCCAAGCTGTTTCATTTGGGACAACCTGGGGGAGGGGGCAGGTGAGGTCTCTCCCCGCCCCAAGGGAGCCAGACTCAGTAGCCAGAAACCTCCAGAACTCAACCCTGCCATGTTCATGGCTGCTGTCCACACGCTCGGGTCTAGCGTCACCCACGAGTGAACCTATCCTGGACTGCATGGCTGTGAATCCTAGGGGGAAATATATTTTTACAGATAATAAGCACACAAGGCTCAACCTTTAACAACATGTTAGTAATCTCTTATAGAAGGGCTTAATGGCTCCTGGGTGAAATACAACAATGTTCACACATTTTCCTTTAAGACACCTTTTTGGATCATTTTCAGTGAATCATTCATAACAAACAGTACAAAATAAATTATTTTGGCTCTGCTTTGGGACAGGGTTTGGGGTTTGGGATGGAAACATATGAAATATGGTTGTGGGAAGGTGTAATGCTGGTGAGATTGGTATTCAAATATTAAATGTAATCAAATATTGTGAACTATTTTATAAAAATAAAATAAAATTTTGTACCTCATGTTATTTCACTAATAAAAATTAAAAATAAAATAAAATTAAATTAAGAAAAAGAACATGAGTTAGAGTGATAGTACAGTGATTAGGGCACTTGCCTTGCATGTGACCACCTGGACTCAATCCCTAAAACCACATATAGTCCCCTGAGAAGTGCTAGTAATGATCCTTAAGCACAGATCCAGGAGTAAGTACTAATCACTACTATGTGTGGCCCACCACCCCCTCCCAAATGAACCCCAAACTCTAGGAGAATTCTAGAAGAGTTTATCTTGGACCTTTCAGTCATTTTGTCATCTTTTCCCTCCCAGTTAACCACTATACTGACTTTTAATTACTGATTAGTTTTGCCTATTTTTGAATTTTTATAATGGAGTCTTATAATCATATGTACTCCTTTTGTATTTGTCTCCTTTATTGGTCAACATACAGTCTGTGGCATGCCTTTATCATTTTTTACACATAGTATATTATTCTATATTCATATTTTATTGAGATATAGTTGATATATGGCATGTAAATTAAGATGAAGAAATTATTGATTTGATAAATTTATGGCAATGATAGCTACTACAGCATTAATTAATGCTAATTCTGATTACATAATTATATTTCTATTTTATTTTTTTGAATGACCTTGTTCATGATTTTCAGTCATACAATATTCTAACACACATCTCTTCACCATGCACATTTTCTGCCACCAATGTTTCCAATGTTCCTAGTTTCTCTCCCCTTCCCAGCCCCTGCCTACTCCTCCTGCCATTATGGCACTTTCTCTCTCTCCCTCTTTCTCTCTTTCCTTTTAGGCAATGTGGTTTGAAATACTGATACTGAAAGAGTATCATGTGTATCACTTTACCTCCTTTCAGCACTCAGTTTTTGTCCAGAGTGATCATTTCTAACTATCATTGTCATAATGGTCCCTTCTCTAATTGTTCTCCCCCTCCCACTTGGTGACAAGCTTCCTACTACTATGAACTTGTCCTCCTGTCCCTTGTTTCTTCTGTCCCTTGTTTCTACTGTCTTTGGGTGTTATACACATACTATGTTTCTTCATGGGCTGGAGCGATAGCACAGCGGGTAGGGCGTTTGCCTTACACGCGGCCAACATGGCCGACCCGAGTTCGATTCCTCCGCCCCTCTCGGAGAGCCCGGCAAGCTACCGAGAGTATTCGATATGCCAGACACAGTAACAACAAAGTCTCCAATGGAGACGTTACTGGGCCCGCTCGAGCAAATCGACGATCAACGGGAGGGCCTTTACCTTTACCTTTATGTTTCTTCATACCCCGCAAATGAGTGCAATCATTCCACTTGTACCTCTCCCACTGACTGATCTCACGTAGTACGATATTCTCCATTTCTTTTGGTGTATTTTGTATTAACTTTTAAAGAATATGATTATAGAAGTAATATATAACATAAATATTAGACAATTTTAGGAAATTATGAAGAATAAACTTTAAATGATTTTAACACCTAGAACTAAACATTGCAAATATTTTGATATGTTATTATGTGCATGTATATATACAAATACACATCTACATAAATTTTGTTTAATTGGATTCCACTTGTATATATTTCATTGGTTTATTTTTTTTTACTTTATGCTATGTTTATTTTCCCACATTTTCACTAAAAATCATGGCAGCATTTAAAGGGAGTTCAATATTTGCTAGAAGGTCCAGAGAGGAAAAATTTGACTTATTCTGTAGAATTCTAGCTACAGACCAATTGGAGAGAGTTCTGCCTTTCCTTACTATAGATCTAAGCAGAGATGTGCCTGTTTATCTGAGCCAGAAGGGATCCTTTCCCAGATAACCTACCGCATGAATCTCCTTCTCCTGTTGCACCAGGGCCACATCACCTTGTAGGGGCAGCTGAGCTGATAATTCCTCATCCTTTTGGCTGAGCCAGTCAATAATCTCTTGGAGTGGGAGTTGAAGCTTTCCACTGTGGTCTGAGAAGGCCTCTAGTCGAGCTCTGCACACAATGAGTAAGACTGGTGATTTCAAACTTTTTAAGTCACAAAACTTATTTTTCCAAGAAAATACTTATGTAGGGCCTTAATATATGTAATATTTTTAGAGAAGCTTCTTCATTGAATCCACCCTCTTGGCCACATACAGCAATTCCTGAGACACCTATGCATGAATATTGTATTTTTAAGAAATCAATTAGTTCAGCTGTGTCTGACCAAGGGTGTTAGGGGTGCTAACTGTTTGGCTCAATCTTTCCCTGAAGGAACTCATCATGCGAAACTGACCATCCACATAGACTTCTCAGTACCTGTCCCTTGAGCAAGAGAGGATACAGTAAGTGGAAAAGGGCAAAACAGGTGGTTGAATGTTGGTCTCAATTTGTACAAAGATACATATCTATACAAAATGCCCAAGGATCCCAAACAATGAGAGCAATATAAGATGGAGGACTTATATAGAGAAATAGAAAATGTGCACTGTATAATCGTCTCTGTTTGCCTTCCCACACAAATGAACCATGGGCTGAGGGCCAAATGGTAGGAAGTAGAAGGCCAATCTAGGCTATGTACAACCATGAAGTCCATTCCCCTAATTGTACAAAGTAAATATTCATTGCTTCCCTTATACCTGGGGCAAGCCTTTTACCTATATTATTGCTTTCACTAATTCTCAAAGTTTTGTGAGATAGCCAGACATTCCTATGGTCCAGTTCACACAGCTAAGTTTCTTAGAGCTCTATGATTTGAACTCATAGATTAAATCATAGATCTCTCGTTCTAGTGTTTGCATTCTTTTACCTTCTCCATGGTGCTTCATGCTCATCAGAGGCCACTAAAAGCAAATAATTTGTTCTTTAATAATTGGAGGTGGAGAGGGAAAGTGTACATGTGTGCAGTGGGGGGAGTATTTACACAAATGGGTATGGAGCAGGGAGACTAACAACCTATATAGAAATTGCCTTTAGGATGTTACTTATTTGCTTTAGTTTGGGGAGGAATGTGTGGGAGGAATAACCAATGGATGGGAAGAGAGATCATGAAAGGATAGGAAAGTGAGTAGATGAGAAGTACCATTAGAGAGGACAGGTATAAGTAAGAGAAGAAGGGAGTGATCCTATTTTCATGTGCTTTCAAGATCAGATATTTTTATAGTGTATTTGAATCATCACGATTATCCTGTGAAATAGGACAGAAATTATTCCTCCATTTGCTCTTTTTTCCCCTTTTTCTTTATTTGTTTTTTGGGCACACCTAACAATGCTCCAAAGTTATTTCTGGATCTGAGTTCAGGAATTACACCTGGCGGTGCTGAGGGACCTGTTTAGGATGCTGGGGATTGAAACCGGATTGGCTGTGTGCAAGGCAAATGCCCTACCTGCTGTACTATCTTGCAGCTCTCACTTGCTCTTTTTTCTTTAAAAAAGCCAAACAACAGAAAGCTAACATTCAGAAAACTCAAACTACTTATGCAAGGTGCCATTGCTACTTAGAGAAAGCTCTAATGCAACTTTCCTGCTTCTGACCTGGGATTCTTTCCTCAGTATCAGAGTAAGAAAGGGATAATACATCGATGGTAAAATTTATAAAAGGATGACACACAGACCTAAACAAAAACATCAAACTGCAGCAGCAAAAGCAACCCAAGACCATTTGAGCTCATTCCTTGGAAGTATACACTTAAAGGATCCAAGTCTTACCGGAGGTTGTGCGACTTCTTTTTAATTTCATTCCAACACAGATTCATGGCTGGTGGTTCCAGAGGTCCTACTGCACCAATAGACACTCTGAACAGCTTTGGGCTTAGGCAGGGAACCCCAGCACCATCCTGAGGAGGCGTAGGGGCAGTTACAGCAGCTCTAACCTGGACAGAAACAGACATCTTTTGATCCCCAATGTGTGCCACACCCTGATCTGTATGAAGCCAAGGATGGGACAGGTGTGAAAAAGGGAACAGGAGGCCTCATCAGTCCCAAGGTAAGTTTGGAGGTGAAGAAGATAGAAAAAGACCAATTGCAACACTCTTTATTACAAGATACGTTCATGGCATAGGTCAGTCATGTATAAATACTGACTGCTAATATTAGTCTTTATATTACAAAATAAGCCAGGAAGTACTTGTACTAGGCAAGAAGATGCTCAAAATTTTCCAAAACGGGCAAACATAGAATTTAAGGTGAAGTAATGGCTTTTACTTCAGGGTATCATGGTGTATACAACCTTCTAGAAAAGAGAACCAAGGGACTGAGAGAGAGGGGGAAGTGAGGGATAGAGAGAAAGAATGAGACCAACAAGAGAGAGCTAGCAGTGGGTGTCCTACTATACTGGGAAGTAGATGTCCTACTTCCAAAATGAATCTGTGTTTTGATGTTTTCCCATCCCTCTCAACCAGTAACATTTCATGCTTCAGTTAGGAAGCCTGGAAATCATCATAAAGCACACAATATTTATCGTTCATGAGTTGAGAAAAAAGCAGCATATTGGATTACATCTTCAAAGGATTTTAACCTGAGTTAGTATTAGAAAGAACCTTCCAGGGGGCCTGCCAAAGTTTTACCCTGGACTCTTCAGTTCAAGGGTCCACCATTCTCTTTCCCTGTGGGGTGTTGTGGGGCTTGAAAGAAACTGTTGGTACTAAATGACCTTTAAGAAGTTAGTTTGCTCCTATACAGTACCCAGTAGGGAAAGTAAGGAAAGGGGCTATGAAGGAAATCTCAGTTATGTCATTCAAGCTCAGCTTAAGGACACCCACCTGCCCCTTCCTTGTCTACCTGCTGGTTTCCTGTGCAAAGAACATGGTTCTGCTAGTAGATGCATCTCTATTAGCATCACTTTTCCTCAAGTTTTACTTCCTTCCCACACTGGGAAATCTAGGAAAATCTAGGAAAATTCAGGTAATTTAAAAAAACCAAGCATCCCTTTAAAACCACAGCTCAGTTTCCATACACATACTGCAGTAACACAATGAAAGTGAAGAGAGCAAGAAGCCAAGGCTTTGGAAGACTCTGAAGCAAAGCTCTTAATTCAGTGACTGAGTTGTCATGAGCCGGCCCTACCTGTGCTTTCTGGAGACTCTGTGACAGGATCAAGCAACTTCATGATTATGCCTCAGTAAGAATCCAGTCCCAGGGCCTGATGAGCCACAGGCAGAGTTCAGACAGGCAAAGTCCAGACAGGCTCTAAGCAGGCTCCCTCAGGGAGGGAAGACTGGGCTGAGCTAGGCCAGGAGGCGGGAGCTGTCACCCTGTTTGTTTACTGACCCTCCAGGAATCCAGAGGGGGCGGCCTTGTCAGGGCTCAGCTGGTGAATTAGAGCTTTGTCCCTGGGGAATTCCGGCTCTCTCCCAACTGGGCCCGCCACACCGGGGCCAGGAGCACTATCCAAGGCTGGCAAGGATGGCAGGAGTGGGACTGGGCATTCCAGGGTGCTGAGGAGGGGCACACAGAGTGTAGTTTCTGTTGATTTATTTTTCTTTTCCATGGGGAGACACAAAGAACTCACTCTGCCTCCAAGCCCACCGCTCCTCTGAGGTAGAAAAAAGGATCAGACCACTTTTGTGACAAAATCCTGGTAAGCAATTTCCCCAAGGCCTGGCAGGAAGATGGCTTTGGAAATAAACATTATCCTCCACTAACATCGTCAGAGTCAGTGAGGAATGTGTGTGACATACTTGGGAAGACAGCCATAGTGTGGCAGGATGGGCAGTAGATTCACCTGAGTCTACTGTGAAAACAAAGGAGTGCCTGCCTTGCCTTCAGGGATAGAGGGGAGTGGAGGGAGAGTTAGATCACTACAGACCTTTCACTTTCTTCTAAGGCTACAGGGAAATGAGGGGTCTACAGGCACCTCCTTAGACTGTTAAAGAAAAAGAGGGCAAATAAATGGAACTGTGAAGCGGTACACAGGGATTCAGTGCCAGGAAGGAGTCTGTGCCTTATCTGTTCTGCCCTGGGCCACTGGTTTGAAGGGCAGGGCCCCTTCTAGGAGCAAACACTCTTCTCCAACAAACTTGCCTGGGAAAAGGTTAACATTCCCAAGCTGGGCCTCCACCCCTCAGTACTGAGGAAAATATTTCATTCTTTCCAAAAAGGGTTCTGTTCCCATCCTCATTTATCTCCCACAGAGTCTTCTGGGCTTTCCACAGCTCCACATTGTTTCCATGCTGAGGCCCACCTACAGGAATAGTTGGGGCAGCTGCCTAATCCTTTCTGGGGGTCTGGTGTGAAGCCAACTGGGGTGGATGGGGGATGGCAGGCTAAAAGCAAGAGTAGTGAGAGGCTCCGGCTCTTGGTCATGACTTCACCTATCCTGGGATCTTTGGGCTCAAGCCAGCTTCACAGAGTCTTTGCACTGAGAATACCCCAGAATTAGAAACAGCCCCTTGTGACACAGCCACAATCAAGATTCCCTGGTGCTGGGGGAAGCACACACAATGAGCTAGGTTCCATCCATGTTAGCCTTTAATTCCCCTGGCCTTCTTCTCTTTTTTCAACCCCTACATGGCTCTCTTCCATGCATCACTTTGTCCTTTTTCTCCTACTTCTCCTTAATCTCACAAATTCTTCTTGGCAGAGCCAGGTACACAGTTGAAAAACAATAAATAGTGCTTGTTTTCTTTCCCTATAAATGGGCCTTTCTTTCCCTAGCTCTGGCCTCTGAGACCAAGGTATCTCTTTCTAACCTTCATGTCACATAGGGTTCTATCCTTACCTCTGGAAATTCTTAGGCAGGTGAGAGCCATAGGGAACTTAGAGAAGAAACTGGAGTGTAGCAAGAATAGGAACAGAATTCACTGTTACCAGTCACAAGATGAAGTCTTCAGGTTCCCTAGCCTAGGTGGTAAAGCTTGGAAGGGGTGAACAACGAGTGGAAAAGCTTCTAATAAGGCTACAGACTTAATCTCCATGGATGTTTTTTTCTGGGGAAGAGGTTGGTGCAATGAGGAACACTAAGTTGACCCTGGCCTTTATACATTATATTAAAGGCAGCATGTTTTCTTTGGTTACAGAAAATAGCCCAGGAGAACCTGGGTATTTTGACTATCTGTATCCTCACTTTACTTTATTATCTCCACAAATGGGTTCTCTAGCTCCCACACTCTGTATAACTTCTGAATTTCTCCCTCCACTTCTCTTTCCAATATACGCAGCTACTGCCCACACATCCACCAGTGACTTAGCACTGCAGCCCATCTACGAGGCACTAGGAGACATGGTGCTTTCTGTCACCTTTATGTCCTCTGAATCCCTGAGCACTGTATGGTTAACCAAATATTCTTGTACTTTTTTCCTTGTCTAGTCAACTTTCTGTGAACCTCTCTCATTGTAAGGACAAGGGGCTGCCCTCTCAGGATTATTGCACTCCGTACCATCCTACCAACATACACGGGCACATATATTACCTTCACTTTATTCTTAGGGGAGTAAAGGGAGGGAGAGAGAAATGGGTATGTAACTCAGGATTCCTATTGGGGCTCAGCCAGGAATAAGTTAGCCAGTAGCTAAATAAGTCTAGGTATTTGAGAGGAAAAGCTAATGGAAGGAGAGACAAGCTGCTAAATATTAGGTGAGCATAGAGATTAGGAGGTATGCACAGAGAAGCCAAGGCAAAGGAATACCCTGTGTTGTCCTAGATTATGTCCTGGAGGATGATAAAATTGTGTAACTTCTCTTGGGAAGTTAACATGAACTTCATCTCCTCAGTCTCTGCAGGCCCTTTGGCTTTCTCAACCCAATACCATTCATTCCCCCAAGTTTCCTATAATAGGCCTCTTGAGTGATAAGGGATGGGCTAGAAGAAGGTTCCATACTATTCAATGGTTCATGTATACAGAGTGCAGTTAGGAAGCGTGGATACCCCACAAGAACACAAACAAACACCATGTCCATTTTTCTCCCCAGGTTTCTCCACGTTTGTTGTGAATGTCTCACCTGAGGCTGGGGGCAGGCGTTTCGGAGACTACTGCTGTGACGGAATTGACCTGCTGCTCGCCACTCATGACATCGTGGGAGGGTATAAGGGCATCCCTGCATGACCATAGGTTGCATCAGAACCAAGGTTCATGGGCGGGTGAGGAAGGGAAACACACCAACTGTTGAGAATAAGCACCTGGAAGAGAAGTCAGGAGATATTTTTTTGAATTCAAGACCAAGAAAATGTCTCTGAACTGCACTTACCCAGAAGAGTCTTGATTTTAAAGTAAATTAGTATTCACAGCTTACTGAAATGCTTGCTCAATTGTTTTTTCTGGCTCACAATGCTTCATAAAAGACTAATTATCAATCAAAAAGGTACTTATTGTTTGCTTATTGTACTTTGTGCTAGGGCCACAAAAATTTCTATTTCTATCTGACATTGCACAGCCTGTAGATGAGTCGGAGGAAATAAGAGATAGGGAAAAGGCAGTTATGTAAGCCGATATTCACAATAAAATGTTTATGTGGCAAATGCTTTCATTTAGGTTTTACTGGATGGTTAGGGGAGCACCATGTGGTGAATTACTAACTACTTGAATGTGTGCAAAGATTTCAGAGAGACTATATACCGGATGAGCCTTGAAGGAAATATATGAGATGAGTAGATATTTATCTATGACACAAACAGAAAAAAAGAGGAAAGGAGCATTCCCAGCCAAAAATCATAAACATGTAAGGCAGATGTCACAAAAAGGCATAATATTTTCAGAGAACACTGACTTCAGCAGGGCTATAGTTTAGGAGGCATATAAACAACAGGACCTGGTTTCTTCTCCACAGCAGTTTACACACAGAAAATAGATGGTGAGAAAATGAAACAATTAAGTATTGTTTTCATTAATAATGGAAGTATTTGGGGCCAGAGTGATAGTATAGCAGGTACGGTTGCCTTGCATGCACTAACATAGGTTTGATCCCTAGCAGCCCTTATGGTCCCCCAAACAGAGCCACGAGTAATTCCTGAGTGCAGGACCCAGGAGTAACCACTGAGAATCACCAGGTGTGGTCCAAAAAACAAAATTAAAAAGAGTGGTGGTATTTATGGGATGAAGGAAGGGACAGATGAGGTGAGTTCTTTTCACTTTAGTCGTGCTAAGGCATGTCTCTCTAGACAAAAGAAGGTTGAAACTAGTCATTGAAAAGAAATCAGATTGCAATTAGGCATAAAAGATAAAATTAAAAAGGACATTTCAAACAGCATGAAAATAAAATGTAGACTGTTACCAGAGAACAAGCTAGGTGCTTTGGGGGAAAATAGATGAGGCTGAAAAATGAGGCTGTGCCCAAATTGGATCATGCCTTGAATGACAAGCAGAAGATTCTAGGCTTTCTCTAGTAGACAATAAGGAAATACAGACACTTTTAAGCAGGAAAGTGACAGGACCAGATTTGCATTTTAGGAATAGCCCTCAGGCTGCCTTGTGGAGTGTTTCTCCCAGGAGAAGAACCCATTGAGAAGTTGTTCTAATGAGCAGCAGTTGTAGTGAGAATGGAATAGATAACATAGCTTTGAGAGAAAATAAATCAAAGAAAATCTCTTCAAAGGGAAAATAAATAAAGATAAATCAAATTATACTGGACTCAGTAATCAATTGAATGTGAAGGCTAAGGAAGGTCAAGGAGACAGCAGTTTCTAATTTGGGATCCAGATGAGTAATGTTGCCAATGGCTAGAGAATGAACAAATTTGGTTTGGTAGGGGATAAGGGTAGCATAATAAGCAATGCCTGAGACATACTTTAGGTATCAGTAGCTAAACTTAGAAGAGAGAGATATGAGAGAAAAATTCAATGTACAAAGCAGTAGACAGACTAGTGAACACATGCAGTGTGATGAGAATTGGTGATAATGATGAAGACTGTAAATGATGAAGTGATACATTTTAGTGCTGAGCAAAGATATGCAAACTCTGATTCAGAAGACACAAACTGATCTTTGATTTATGATGCTGATGATTAAATACCCACCATTTTGTTGTAATTATGCATATCGGAAATGATCATTACAGTATTGTACATCACAGAACCTCAATCAATACAAAGAAATAATTGTTATTTTAGAATATTTTAAAAATAGCTATAATTTTTAGTCTCTAGTTCAGTGCTTTTGAATACTCTAGGTACAGAGTCGCTTCTTAAATTAAAATAAAGTAACTTCTCTCACTAACACCTACAATAGTAGCTGTAATTTCAGTAATTGAAGAGTGATTTACATTTTTTTAATTTAAAAATCTGTGGAAGGGGGCTAGTGATAGCACAGCGGGTAGGGCATTTGCCTTGCACGCGGCCGACCCAGGTTTGGTTCCCAGCATCCCATATGGTCCCCCTAGCACCGCCAGGGATAATTCCTGAGTGCCGAGCCAGGAGTGACCCCTGAGCATCGCCGGGTGTGACCCAAAAAACAAAAAAAAGTACCAAATTATTGTAGTCAGTCCCTAAATGTAATACAGATCCTTCATTCCTCATCCTGCAACAGATTTCCCCAAGTGATTGTTTATGGCTTCACTTTCACTCAGCACCAACATAAAAATTTAGTCATTCAGATAAGATAATATAATATCTAAACCACTTAATCTTCAATACTTGTAAGCATGGCACCCAAACCACAATAACTAAACTTTAAAATGTGCCCTTTAAGAGACAGGCTGAGGGATAGGAGGGAACTTGGGAAAACAGTTGTTGGAGGAAAGTTGACAATGGTAGTGGGATTGGTATTGGAACATAGAATACCTGAAACTCTAGTACAGGTACATTTGTAAATCATGGTGCCAAAATAGAAAAAATAATTTATTTGGGCTGGAGATATAGTATAACATGTAGGGTGCTTGACTAGCTAGTGGTGTGCCCAGCTTTGATGCCTGGTAACCATATGGCCTCCCCATACCACCAGGAGTCATCCCTGAGCACAGAGCCAGGAGTAGGCCTTGAGCACCACTGGGTGTGGTTCAAGCACCAAAAAATAACTTATTTTTAGGTTCCAGAGGGATAGTACAGTGGGTAGGGTGTTTGCCTAAATGCAGAGCCAGAAGTAATCCCTGAGCATTGCTGAGCGTGATCCCCAAATCAAACCCTTATTTTAAAAAAAATATAACAATAAAACAAAATTAAAAAAAAAGAGGAACTTGCCTCGTTTGCTGTCAACCTCCATTTAGTCCTGGCTACATATGGATGGTCCTTTGAACATGGCCAGGAATAATCTCTGTGCACAGAACCCAGATCCTGGAGCACAGCCGGGTATGACTCAAAAGCAAACGGACAAAGAGATAGTACAGGGGTAAGGAGCTCGTTTTACACTTGACGACCCTGGTTCAATCCATGGTGATGCATATGATCTCCTGAGCACTGCCAGGAGGGTTTCTGAGCACAGACATAGGATGAAGTTCTGTACATCTGGGTGTGATGCCAAATATAAAAATTATTGCTATCGGTTGTGACGGGGTGACTGAAACCTCATGGAAAAGGGGGTGTTCCCGGCTCGTCTGTCTTTCACGCCCTACCGAGGTCACGAGTTGCCCCCCACGAGCGGTTCTCCAGCACGGCCATGGCTCCAGAAGTACAAGGACTTAATGCAGAGCCCGGCAGCTTGCGGCAGAAAAGTGAATGGACTATGCCTTAATCCACGCCACCATGCATGCCCGGAAGGGAAAGGGTGTTGCTCCCTTCTGCCTTTCTCCCTCTAGAAAGCAAGATGGCGGCCACCTCAGAGCTTTTTGGAAAGCCAGGTATGAGCCGGTTGTGACGGGGTGACTGAAACCTCATGGGAAGGGGGGCAGTACTGGCTCGTTCTCGTCCTCACACCCTACTGAGGTCACGAGTTGCCCCCCACGAGCAGCTCTCCGGCACGGCCATGGCTCTAGAGCCACAGAAACCAATCTTATAATTATCTGACTCTCGGCAGAAGTACTTCCAGGCTTAATAAGTAAAATATCAAAAACAAAAATTGCACGGCCGCAACTGCGGCCGCGTGACATCATTTGGTTCTTGTAACCAGCTGTAGAAAACAAATTATTTCACAATGCCTTTTCAGCAGGTCTGATTTTGGGGTGTAAACTCTGAATAATAATGGTGTATCTTTTGTCGAAACAAAGTAGATAGAGTGTTAACTAGAATTCACCTGCCTCACAGGCATTGGGAGGGTTGGGAGGGAGGGTATATTGGGGTTCTTGGTGGTGAAAAATAAGTACTGGTGAAGGGAAATGTGTTTGATGATTGCATGACCGAGATTTAAACCTGAAAGCTTTGCAACTTTTCCCACATTGATTCAATAATAAATTAATTAATTAAAAAATTATTGCTATGGATGTGTTATAAGCATGTAGCACTATATTACTGTCCTCCTGTTGTTCATCGATTTGCTTGAGCTGGCACCAGTAATGTCTCACAACAAATTGTGAGACTTGTTGTTACTGTTTTTGGCATATCGAATACGTCACGGGTAGCTTGCCAGGCTTTGCCATGCGGGTGAGATATTCTCGGTAGCTTGCCAGGCTCTCTGAGAGGGGTGTAGGAATCAAACCCATGAGGTTAGCCGGATGCAAGGCAAATGCCCTACAAAAAAATTGCTTTCAGATAGTTTTGCTGAAACACTGGTAATTCAGGTTCTAGAAAAACTGGAAAATACAAAAATCATAACAAAAAAACCTATAGTAGGTTTCTTAATAGGTCATTTATGTATTTATTTATTTCAGAGATAAGGACGACTAATAGGCTTGAAAGCTCAGAATAGTTTATCAATGAAAAGTAGATAGGGGGCAGAGAGATAGTAGAGCAATTAGAGTGCTTGCCTTGCATACAGCCTGAGTTTGATTCCCAGCACCACATATAGTCCCCTGAGCCCTGCCAGAGTAAGTAGATAGATATGCTTTTCATTATTAATTTATTGAGGTAAAATGGTTTATAAGAATGTAAATGTTTGCATGCTTTGGGGATAGATACTACCACATTAAAGTGCCAATAATCATCTACCACAGCTCAAAGACAAATTTAGAAGCACTTCTCATCTCCATTCTATTTCTTTCATCAGAGTCTAAGGTTTTGAATATCATCTATTTTTTCATTTTCTTATATCTTCTATTATTTTTTAAAAGAAAATTAATTTTATTATTTTATTTTTTATTGAATTACCATGGGCTGGA